GCGTGCTTTGAGGGGGGGGGCGGCCAACAGGTCTGTACCACTTGGACGACTCGTCGTTAACCCTTCAAATCAGGTTGTTACGACGTCTCCTGTCCGACACGACGCATACTCGTTCTTTTACCGACCTTCACTCACCTATCCACACACATGTATGCGTGTGTCTGAAAATGTCCTATCAGCATCCGATGTACCCACACAATTGCCATGGCTACTGACGAAGCGAGCTACGGTCTCCGAGGGCATTCGGGCAGATGCCGTTTCGCCGAGGCCTCGGAGTCGAGAACCCTGTCCGGCGGACTCGGGGCACAAGAGCCGAGCGACTTGGCGCCACCGCCACCTCCAAAGGAAGGTTGGCTGCCCCCGCTTTCGCTCTCTCTCTCTCTCTCTCTCTCTCTCAGACGCCAGAGCTTGCCGTGATATTGCCCTGCCGACAATAAGAAGTCTCGCTCTTGCCTTACCATCCTCTTACGCCGACTCGTCTTAACAAGCGTTGCTATGGCAGCCGGTCTCTGGGCGCTTTTTCTGGCCGAAGACCGACCCAAAGTGGGTGCAGAGAGGCTGGTGTGTAGATCACTCGATCCCGCGGGCAGAGAGGGAGAGAGACAGAAAGCTGATTGCTTGCGTTTGGCTGGCCGATCTACAGACGATTGGTAGTCTGTGAATCAATAGCAAATGCCTCCATTTCTATCGGGTGGCGACTTGTCAACGGTGCCCGGCCTCGATCCCGGCCCTAAGCCCAAACCGGAACCGGCACTGGAACCCAAAACCGAACCTGAACCCGAGCCCGCATCCGAATCGAATGCAGAAACTGAACCAGATCCCTTAACCTGAACCCACATCCGAACCCAAATCGGAATCCGAACCTGAACCGGAACACGAGCCTGACTCCTCTTCTTCCCGCAAGAGTGTGACGCAGATCCGCAGCCCGGTTCAATTTGGCTCGGAGCATCCGTTGCCAACTTGAGACTCAAAGCATGGCTCAGGCCATTCTACCAGAAACATCCTCACCTCGGTCATACTCATCAGCGTACGTTTCGCTACCGGCCACCCCTTTTGCTTGACTACGAAAAGACCGACGCCGAGGCGAAAACTGAGCCCCATACAGTTCTCCTTTTTTTTCTAGCACAGTCCTCGTCCCGCGTAGTAACGGATCGTTGATTTGATCCACTTCCAAGACCACATCATCCTGCTTCTGAGGTGGAGCGCCGAAGTTTTGCATCTCATTCTTGGAAGGCTTCTTTCACTTGTCCAGCTCTCACCGGTCCTGAATGCGAACTGAAAGTCGGATTGTTTCCCCAAAATGTGAGGAGTATACTTTTCGTTCATAAGTGAGTTTTTGAGACTGTCAGCAGCTCGTTTATCTGAAGTGCATTCACCCGATTTCGTTTAAGATGACGATAAAGATGGGACCTTTGTGGAAGCATGTTATGCGAAATTCAGTTGAATCATGAGGACGACTGGTATGATTGTGGGAAAATTCGACCTCATCACCTTCAATGAAGTAGGGTGAATATATCCCGTACAGGCAAACATGTGTTTGCGCCTGCAATCGACGGTGTTACTTAATTTTGATGTTAGCAATTTGCGATATTATCAGCAATTTTGCAATAATTACTGCTGCTATCGAAAGCCACCGCAAATCAGGCCACCAGCCTCGAATAGATCAGGCAAGGTTCACAATGGTGCATGTGATTTGGTGGGTTT